CTTTTGAAACGTTCTCTTGGAAACGCGATATAACCGAACTCCACGCGGGCGAAGCTGCGGGCGGAAAGCTAGTGTATAATAAAAACTTAAACAATATCGCCAAGGCTACATAATTGTATGGATAAGATAAGAATGAGTGACGCTGCTGACTCCGCAGAACAAACACCAAGCCGTGTGAACCAGAAGATTCCTGATACCACACAAGCAATGTGACGGTATTGCTATCCTAACATCGGAGCAATCATGTAGTCTTAGTTATAGGGTATAAATTTTAGTTTTATATTTTTCTTATAATATAATAAATTTCGTAATTTTCATTTTACCTTTTACGTAGTTTTCATTTAGCGTTGAAACATACCATATATATCTTTCCATTGTGTAATTAGTATCCAAAAATTTACCAATCAAAATTACGACATTCACTTCAATTAAATGATGCAAAATTTACTACAAAGCCGTCTCCTTAACGTTCAATGAAACTACACAAAAACTTCCACATATACTATAACATAAGAACAGCATATTATTCACATATATATATTATATAACCAAGTTAATACAGACGTTTAAATGCAGCCAGAGCAAGTAATACCTGACTCTGGCACGAGCCCAGGTAATACTACGACAATTTCCTATGCATATTCTATTGAGGATTAGCATTTATCCAAAGATACTATGTGTTACGGAATCATTGGTTAGTGTTTGGTAGATTATATTACGCCCGCGGTTTTACTTGCGTTTGTTTCTACATTAAATAGGACATGCTCTCCAATGCTAATTGCAAACACGAATTTTATGTTTATACATATTTGACATAACATTAAACATATAGCAATTCCAAGATAAATATTCTTATTCTATTAAAGAATTTACAAATATGATATGTCTTTCAATTAAATTATAGTTTCTTTGTGTTACATACCTAAATAATTAAATATAATTTATTACTGATAAAAAAATACAGAAAATAGAAAATATCTATAATTTGTTTCACGTACACTCATTGAAGTTAAATGAACAATAATTTTACTTAAACAAATCATATCATAAATTAAACTATCGTTAACAAATCATATCATAAATTAAACAATCGTAAACAAATCATATCATAGATTAGACCAAAGTAAAGAAATCCTTACGTCATCATTAGTCCACCATCCAATCCAATTATTACTTACACATTACTTTAGATCCCCCTTATATTACGCAATTTAATTGATCTTCAATCTCGCAATGTACTTATTGAATTACATAAAAAATCTTTAACGATTTCAAATCAAATGACTAGATGAGATTATATAAGTACTTGGCGTAAATTAGAAGCGATAGCGGACAAATGATAACTTGGACAAATTTTATATTTATATTGCACTATTATTTGTCATCAGCCTATCAGAAGCCCACTGCTGAGCAAGGCCTCTTTCTCACATGGAGAAGGTTTGAGCATTAATCACCACGCTTGCTCAAGACGGGATGGTGATTTCAAACTTATAATTGTGAAACTATAAGTCCAGGTTTCCTCACAATTTATATACTATATTTATATGCACTATTATTTATATACACGAAAATTATAGTACAAAAAAGATCTCTGTCATAATAAAACTGAATATAATGCGTATTTTCATATGTAGTATATTTCTCAATATTATTTCTTTATAATATATGATAATGAATACTATACATAGCTGTCATTATCATATTAGTACGTTATAAAGCCAGATTATATTTTCTTCTTTAGTACTACTTATTTATTTTACTAAATATAAAGAATCAAGTACATATATATAAATATGATAGAGCCAAGCTGCAGGGTTTGGCATATAAATACATATTAATAGTAATAATATATGACTAATAAGAAATACAGCAATCCTCAATTTTGCTTACCATTTAATCCGATTACATATTTTTTTCCAATATTCTTACAAAACAATATGCGAATATTACTTACACAATAATCAATAGTATTACTTAAATTTTTATTGTGCGCTTAATGTGAGCTCCCAACATTGTCCGTATAAAGTTTGTCAATACCGACACTCTTACTAAAAAAGGCTACCTCATTTTTACAACGTTCTTGAGACATACTTTAGATGTAGCTCAAATTGTTTATCCTATAACCTACACCAATTAACAGACTATTTTGCACGATAAACTTTTTCAATTCCTATATATATTTCTTCATATTAACTTAAACAAACAAACTCTTCTTAATAGTTTTTGGTTTGGTAAAAACGCTGATAGCTTATAACTTATATCCCCAAGTCTGCAGCCATATTGACCATCAATAGGGTATAATCATATTCGACCAATTACTTTGTCGGATCTAACAATAACCATCCTATATGTTACAATGTGGTCCACACACAGCCTCTCATTAGATGTGAGCTTTTGGCATTTCATCTCATCATATGATATTTGACTTTTATATTATCTTTGGAATATCGCATAGAAGAGATGTTTTCTTTTAATTTTTTTAATGCATTGCGATTGAAAGAGGACTTATAATCTTCTCAAGATGTATTTTATTACAGCAAAAAGATTTAGTATGTATGAGATATATGTATATTTAATATACTGCAGTCTGCTCTAGCGTTGAAGCCAACAATTTTTCTAACAAAAATAAAGTTAAGAAGTGTATGGGTATGATCTAAGTAAAGTGAAAATTTCTATCAGATCCCTATTTTAGTAAAGAAAGTCGTATGTAAAGGCTTTGTTCGAGACTTGATGGTATAGAATAAAATTCTTTGATGCAGGTACGCGACTCCATTGTAAGAACGCCTATCTAGCAGACGCTATTCCACTGCCGTAAAAATGTAAAATATACCGTTCACAAAAAAAAAACTATTTAATATTTAACTTCTATGTTTATCTCCTTTATAACGTCTAACTGTAAACTAGCACGTGGTTTATAACAGTACTGTAATTACTATGTTTGCATATGTAGTTAAATTCTTTGAGTTATTTTTACGACTGCCTAATTAAATTCCGACATTTCGTTGCAAGTTTCCTGACTTGTGTGATAAATTATAATTTAAATCTTATTCTGTTGTCCGTACAGTGGTTGGGATGAAAAAATTGTGAAAGAAAAGTGGAAAGTTCCTGTATTATCTGCAAGGAGTTGCACGAGAGTTTAATCATGCGCCTGATAAGTTAGGGATGTTACTTTCGAGATAAAGGAACTGGTCGGATATGTGAAATATTTATAAAATCTCGAAATCATAATTATATATGAGATTCTTCATTAAACATTATTGTTTTAACATAATCCTTTTATATATAAAGAAAGATATATTATTCTATACCTTTTGCAATCAAATTTAATACTTATTACTTAGGTTTTTAAATTTAATTTTAATAAAAAGCTACATTAATCAAAACTTCTATACCAATCCAATCCGAAATTTTAGCTTCAAAATATCTAAATTTAATTTATTAGTTCATTGTGCTAGTTAAATTATTTCTAATGAAGACACAAATGTCAAGTGTAAATGAACTTTTACAAACCGGTTATGAATGACAATCTTATAGAAATTTGACGACAACAAAGCAATATTTATATCAGAATCTATTTTATATGTCGCAGGTCCATGACCCAGTTGATTATTAAGAGCTGTGACGTCAACTATACTGTCGTCATCAAGACGGTTTCCTCCAGTCGGGTTATCCATTTTTCACTTAATAAAGCACTCACAGTTACTTGCACGACTTTTATTTTTCACTTTTACAAACACTTAGTAATTTTACAAGCTTCCTCCTGGATAGCTCTCAGACTACAATATCCTCACCACAAATGTCTCGGTATATAAATGATTTCAGGTGGAGTCATTACATTTACTCTTAATTTTTAAATAACAAGTTACAATGATTAATAGTAGTAATTCAAATTATCAATAATCATTACATAAATTTTCGTAAACAATTATTAAACCACCTTAACTTTATATTGTTACTTAACATTTATTGAAAACATAATTGAATAACATTGATTACAAAATGGTTACTCTTTAATTTTATGTTTTACTAAAACTAACAGAATATCTTATCTTCACATATTACAAATCGTGATACAAATTAAGATTTATTATTCTTTAATACAAATCATTCAACTATCTATAAAACAAATAATTTTGTTAAAGAAATTATTAATATCATGACGTAGTTTATGTTACATTTACCCTCTTATGAAAAATGTTTATGAAACAACTATAATTTTGTTAAAGAAATTATTAACACCATGACGTAGTTTTGTACAATTACCCTCTTTTCATGGTTTTAAATGCTATTGCGCCGACACGGCCATTCTGCGGCCTGGTGCGTGCTCTGCACCAGTTTGATTTTTTTGTAATATATGAACGTATCAACATACATTGTATCACGAACCTGTTCTTATTATTATTATTTATTATTGCATAATGCTCCACGCATCTTTGCTTATTTTTATTGAAGTCAGGTTGTTGCTGTGGTCTGGGCGGTCTTGTACGCCGTGGTCCACAGGGGCTCTAAGGGATTGAGGTAGGTCGATGCTGTGGTCTAGAACTCTTTGTCCGTGGTCCACAGAGGATATTGGTTTTGTGATGTTGCTGTGGTCTGAGCGGTCTTGTACGCCGTGGTCCACAGGGGCTCTAAGGGATTAAGGTAGGTCGATGCTGTGGTCTAGGATCCTTTGTCCGTGGTCCACAGAGGATATTGGTTTTATTATGTTGCTGTGGTCTGAGCGGTCTTGTACGCCGTGGTCCACAGGGGATGCAAGGAGTGGAGGTAGGTCGATGCTGTGGTCTAGGACTTTTTGTCCGTGGTCCACAGGGGCTCTGAAAGATTAAAGGAAGGTAATATTTTGATAAAGGCTCTAAAATTTTATATTGACCTCAAGTCAGGTTCCTTAACTTGAGAGGTTTTGATGAAAACAGTTGATACGTTATTAAACAATTAATTAATTGATGCATTATTAAACAATTAATGTTCGACTAAATTATTGATTGTTCATTGGGTTTAACTTATAAATCCTCAGAAGCTTCTCCATTTAAAGGGCTGTCATGATGTGGAGGATCATCGATGTAGTCCGCCGACACGGTTCCTGCAGCTCCTGGATTTGGTGCTGGACGTAATTGATCATGAGCTACCTTTCGCGGTCGACCTCTGCCGGTTACACGTTTCACCATGTAACGATCATGTTCCAAGACTTTGTATATTTCATATGGTTCAGTATATTTCAGATCCAAAGAAGTTTGATTACGAGGATTATTTTTGATTAATACATAGTCACCCCTTTTAAAGGAATGTACCTTACCCTTACTTTTTTCAAATCTCTGTTTATCATATTCTGCTGCAGCCAACATTTTCTGTTGCACATATTCCTCTAACACATCAAAATTTATAAATTCATTCTCAAAATCAATTAACCTTAATAGTTCCGGTGGCACACAATGCTGCCGACGGGTGAGAAGAGTTAGAGGTGCAACTCCAGTTACTCTATGAGGCGTGCAATTAAATGAGAGTTGCAATGCTTCAAGGGCAGTCTGCCAGTTTTCTGTAGTGTAATTTTTTATCATGGTAAGGGCATTTTTTAAAGTGCTCATGATTCTTTCAACCTGTCCATTAGCTCGGCTTATTCCTGGTGCGATTGAATGTATGTTAATCCCAAAGCGGTCACAATAAACTTTGAATTCACCGAGAAACTCTCGACCTCCATCTACCACGATCTGAACTGGTGTCCCAAAAAGATGTACTAATCGTTTCAAGGCTGCAAGGGTGCTGCATGGGCTCTTATCATTTGAATAGTTTAAAAGCACATATTTCGTAAATGAATCAATTATAACTATAACGTATTCTTCACATCCTTCGTTGCTTCTAGTTCCTAGTTTTCCAGTAATGTCCATATGTACCACTTGAAATGCTGCTGTGGGTTTCTGGATTGGGTGAAGCCGTACTTGTGTGCTACCTGACGGCCCTTTTGATGTTCTGCAAACAATACAATTATCAACAAATCTTCTGATTAAAGAACTCATTTTATCAAAAACATAAGTTTCTTTTATTTTTTGGAGAGTTTTCTCCCATCCAGGATGATGTAATGCGGTGTGAAATGAATTTATTAAACTCCACTGAAATGATTTAGGAACGACAATGGCTTCATGTTGGCCTAGTACAGGATCTGTTACGATTTTCTTTAAGACACCTTCTCTTAGTGTATAGTTTGCGGCTGGGTGGTCACTGCTCATGCTGTCTATTAAAGGACGAAGTAAATCATCGCGTCTTTGTTCTATTTGTAACCATTCCATATCTTTGCTGATCATATTGATAGATATTTCATTAGATGGATTTCTACTAAAAAAATCTGCGTGTTGCATTGTTTTTCCCCTTCTGTACTCCACATCGAAGTCATAATTTTGTAAGAAAGCCCACCATCTATGAATTCGCGGAAGTAGATCCTTTTTATGTTGGGATGCTTTCAAAGCATTACAATCTGTAATAATTTTGAATTTTCGTCCATATAAATAGTGTCGAAAATGTTTTATTGCTCGCACTACTGCCAGAGTCTCAAGCTCGTAAGAGTGGTATCGGCTCTCCGCGTCAGTAGTTCTTTGACTCATATACGCCACTGGATGAAGACGCCCATTAACTATCTGAGCTAGAACTGCCCCGTATCCAATGCTACTTGCATCTGTATACAGCTCTATTGGTGCTGTTTCCTGAAACAGAGTTAGTGTAGGAGCAGACGACAGATGTTGTATGATACAATTCCGAGCTTGCTCTTGTCTTTCGCCCCATTCCCATTTCATATTATTTTTAGTTAATTCATACAGTGGAACCATGATACGCGAAAAATTTGGGATAAATCTTCTGAAATAACCAGCCAGCCCATTAAACTGTCGTACTTGTTTAACGGTTTTTGGAATCGGCGCCTTTACTAATGCTTCTACCTTTCTCGGACTGGGACTAACATGACCATTGCTGACAATATTACCCAGATATTCAATGGATCGTTTAAAAAAAGCTGTTTTCTCAATATTAATAGAAAATCCAGCTTTTTGCAGTGCAATTAATATACGTTCAATTCTACTCAGTCCTTCTTCAAAGTCTTCACATTTTGATAACACGTCATCCACATAAACCTGGCAAACTGGTTCCTTTAAAGTCAAAAGATGAGCGAGGGCCTTATTGATGCAACGTTGATACACCGAAACCGCATTGCTAAGTCCAAATGGCATTGTCAAATATTCGTATAAGCCGTCGGGAGTAACAAAGGCCGTTTTTTCAATAGAGCACTCCGATATTGGGATTTGATGGAATCCGGCTGCCATATCAAAAGTTGTGTAGTAAACACCACCAGCTAGTTGATCTATTTGGTCGGAGATGATAGGAAGCGGATAGTGGTCTCTCAATGTATTTCTGTTTAATTCCCGGTAGTCTACGCACATACGATCTTGTCCATTCTTCTTCTTTACCAATATCACAGGGCTTGAAAATGGCGATTTACTTTCTCGAATAATGTTGTGTTCAAGTAATTCCTTAATAATTGACCGAACTGTTTCCCTCTCTACAGGACTTAACCGATATGGTCTGCGTTCTACGTACCTCTCGTTATCTTTTAAGCGTATTTGTAGTACTCCGGTGTTGACACGTGAGCGAGGATAACCGTAGATAAATAGATTTTCATATTTGTTGAGCAAAATTGTTAATCTATTTATTTGATCTTGATCAGTTAAGTCACAATTTAAATTATTAAATTTATCACTCCTAGACATCACATGACATATAGCAGGTTGGCGAAGTAAAGTAACACCATGTGAGTTTACTATCACACTTAAATTCGTGTTTTCAATCAAATTCACTCCAATTAAAACATCCGAACATATTTCATAGTCGGGCACAATATGAAACTGAATTTCTACCCGAAGATCACTTATGACGCATACTGTTGTTAATGTTGATAGAGACACTACTGTAAATTGTCCCAAACCCTTTAAATATCGTACTAAATCTGTTCTTCTTCCAGGAAGTTTTGATGCTAGTGATTCACGTATTACTGAACATTCCGCTCCGGTATCGAACATTGCTAACAATTTGAAATTTTCTATGAGCACTGGCATTAAATTGACTTTCGTTGACCCCACACAATTTATATTGGAAACAACTGCCTCTGTTCTCTTGAAACATGTCTCAAATGTGTGACCAATTTTCTGGCAGTAAGAGCATGTTGGGGATGTATCAGATCCTTTTGATACATTTCTTTCAGTCAATGTATGCGATTGTGGATAGTTATTTGGTTTACGGTAATAACAATCCCTTGCGTCATGACCGTTCCTTTTACATACTTGGCAAAATTTATCATAGCGTGTTCGTTTTATGGTTCCTTGTGATGTAATCGATGTATTAGGGTAAGACCGTTTCGTGCTTCGTATCGATGATGCCACAGAAATCAATTCGGGTACTGATGTCGCTCTAACATTTAATAATTCAATTCTGAGTCGTTCATCCGCTATACAACCAATCACTGCCTCAACTGCATCATTATCAGACAATTTGTCTTTAGTTATACGTCGCCATAGTACCCACGCTTGTGACAAAAATTGTGTAATATCCTTAGTATTATCATAGTTATGCTCTTTAAAACGAACGATATCCCTAGAGTATCGATTCTCTGGTTCAAAAGTCGTAATCAAAACCTCCCGTAATTCCAACCACGTTGTTGTTGATATTAACCAATTGTCAACCCATAACCTTGCCCGTCCTTTGAGTAGACTTCCGACCTTCATTCTAATTTCATAATCAGTAAAGTTATAGGTTACCATTGCAGTTGTAATATGTTGACACCATTCTCTGATTCCAACATTCATATCCGGGTCGTATGATGGCAGGTATACATCAGAAATTTTAACTTTGGCTTCTGGTTGAGCAGAAAGACGCTCGGACATGTGCTTCATCACCTCTAACATTTGTGAAAAAAATTCCGTTGATACTGCTCCAACAGAGCCTCCATTACTGTCAGTTGGACGAGCAGAAGTGGGTAATCCCACTTCTGATGTCGCAGGTCCATGACCCAGTTGATTATTAAGAGCTGTGACGTCAACTATACTGTCGTCATCAAGACGGTTTCCTCCAGTCGGGTTATCCATTTTTCACTTAATAAAGCACTCACAGTTACTTGCACGACTTTTATTTTTCACTTTTACAAACACTTAGTAATTTTACAAGCTTCCTCCTGGATAGCTCTCAGACTACAATATCCTCACCACAAATGTCTCGGTATATAAATGATTTCAGGTGGAGTCATTACATTTACTCTTAATTTTTAAATAACAAGTTACAATGATTAATAGTAGTAATTCAAATTATCAATAATCATTACATAAATTTTCGTAAACAATTATTAAACCACCTTAACTTTATATTGTTACTTAACATTTATTGAAAACATAATTGAATAACATTGATTACAAAATGGTTACTCTTTAATTTTATGTTTTACTAAAACTAACAGAATATCTTATCTTCACATATTACAAATCGTGATACAAATTAAGATTTATTATTCTTTAATACAAATCATTCAACTATCTATAAAACAAATAATTTTGTTAAAGAAATTATTAATATCATGACGTAGTTTATGTTACATTTACCCTCTTATGAAAAATGTTTATGAAACAACTATAATTTTGTTAAAGAAATTATTAACACCATGACGTAGTTTTGTACAATTACCCTCTTTTCATGGTTTTAAATGCTATTGCGCCGACATATACTATGCATTAATCTAAGGATGATTGAGGATAAAAAATTCTAAATATACAATTGACTTAATATTACAATAAATATGTATAAATTTGTATAGCTTTTATTTGCGTTTATATAAACAAAGGTTCATTAATGAGCTGCGAAAATAGTATTATTATAATTTTATTTCCGATTACCAATTCGACATAAAATCAGAGATATAAATTCAATTATAATTGCTTGATTATTTGACAAACATCTACATACATACATATGTACATACATACATGCTTCCACAATGATGTCAAATCATGACATAGAAGCACAAAGTTAATATTATATCCACATAAACCTTAATATTACCTAAAACGTTTGCTGAATCTCCAAAACGTATAAAAATCTTTGTTGTTAGTGGCTATAAAAGTATATATTTTTAATTCTAATCCTTCAATCACAAATAACTAAAAGGATTCGGGTGAAACCTTTACTGTAGATGATTGTAATAATTTAAATTTATAGCATTTCATAACTGTGTTATTACCTTAGATAAAAACTAATAAAGAATAAATAGATCTAAATTTTCATTATCAATATAAATAATATTATAATTTTATCTTATCACCTATTAAATAAAACTATATTCATAACTCTCGTAGAAAAAGTTACAGCCCTAAATTTCGGACGAACCCATCTTGCCTTTGTGTCTTGGCAATTCAATTTAGTGATAAGGCGTATGGAAGTACTTATCTATAAACAGAAAGACAAATAAAGTAGCCATCGATTGAAATAAGAGACAGAAGATGCTTCGAAAGCGTGATTTGAATCTCTAATATAGAATACAGCATTTGACATTTCTTTTGTTTTGGTTTACTAAATTATACTAGTTTGTGTATACAAATTCACTTGACTTATTTCAGGACAAATATGTGTAACTTAGTAAAGTTCAAAATTATGATGATTGAAGTTATTAAAATCAATGGTTTGTCCAAAAGAATTGTTTCTTCATATTAAGACAGATAATTTTAAAGAAATTAAATATTATATAACGAGTTCTGAGACTTTAGTAAATATTTCTTTAAATGAAACTAACAGTTTTCGGATTACTACGATTATTTTTTTTATTTTTAACTGTGATCGGTAGCTGCAAAGTAACCATAATGTCGAGAGTATGTAGGTATGTAGTTTTTAAAAATAATGAAATACGCGTATTAATTCGAAAATATCAGTTTTATCTAAATAAATATTACAAATGTATATATCGGATTTATTACACATTCGTTGTTTTAAAAGAGAGGGACGCCAGCCTCGCTGACGTAACAAATGTCAGTTCTAGAGCGTTCCACGATATTTTAAAATGAAACTTCAATTGTTCCTAATGCTCCTGTATTTCTTGAAGGTTCATCATAATCACATTCTTCAATGATACGCACTCCCTGAACTCTGAATTCTCAATTCTGGAGTCAGCCGTCGTGCGTCCAGACGTCATATTTTTAACAAGATTCAAACATAGTTCTATTCTCCTTTGATTTCACTTTTAACAATAATCATAAATACTAATGAGGTTTAATAATAATTGATGACAGCCTCAAATTATTTTCATGTCGCATCCGTTATTAAAGCTGATAGCGCCGATATATACAATATATATATTTTTCAGTATTATATTTATAGTCCTCTCACCATGATATCAAAATCACTTTTTTTGGTTTAAATAAATTGTTCTTTACAAACCCTTCATAAGACAATAATTTTTACACGTGAATTAAAAGACTGGCTTAATATCGGTAAAGTTAAAATCTATGTTAACTATTAGTTATAGTTAAAAAAATATCTGTTATAATCCAAGATATAATCCAAAAAATACTGAGAATTGTTTATTATTGAAAGCGATACATAATAGATATAGTAATAAATGTATTTACAATTAAAATAGATACTAAATGATCCGTTCATAATGAAATAATGCTACGTTGCAATTATATTAGAATTAAGTACTGTTTAGGGTTGGCGCGACATTTAAATTATTCCTATAAATATATGAGATATTCAATTTCAAATTTTGAGTTAACTCAATTAAAAATTACATTTTTAAAAAGGATTTACACAAAATTTTATATAGATTTCGTAAAAAATGGAAGATTTGCTTAAAATTTATTGCGGTTCTCTACTAAACACTCGTTTTTAGTTAGTTTTTGCCCGCGACTTCGTTCTAAATTAGTAATATATGTATAGTTGAACGGGCGAACTCAATTTTTACCTAGAGGCCGTAAATAACCATATACTGAAATTTATTAAATATTGTTTTTCTTTTCCGATCGAAGAGAATTAAATATCCTATGTCAGTCTTCTGGTTCCAAGCTATCTTCTCGGCAATTTTCAACCATATCCCTGCAGCAGTTCTTGAGTTATAAATAGTATAATTAACACGACTTTATATATAATGTATGCTTTTCAATTAATTTAAAAACTAAATCGTGATAGCCCTCACTATCCAACTATTAGGCCTAATTGATGAAAGCGATATATACAGTTGACTTAAAATTTTGCAGTGGTTGTTAGTTTTGGTATTAATTGAACTGATTTATTATTTTGCGTTACTGAAGCCAATTTAACTTATTTATATATGAGAACGGATATCGTTAGTTTAAACGGTATAAAGAACATATCTATTTCGACAAAACTAAGACGAAATCTATTACGTATTGTACTAATCAAACATATTTTTTTAAGTACAAAGTTTTCTTGCTTATCAGTAAATAATTGTTAAGTTATTTTTTTATACAACAATACATTAATGGTACTTATCGTAGAGTAGGACGCCCCGCAGCTAGGTGGACCGATGACCTTAAAAAGGTCGCTGGGTCTCACTGGATGCGGAAGGCAGAGGACCGAGTGTTATGGCGCGTGTTGGGAGAGGCCTATGTCCAGCAGTGGACTGCTATAGGCTAAATGATGATGATGACTTATATGCCTAGTCCGATTCCACAGTAATAGTAAATACGAGGAGTTTACCGTTTTTTTTCAATAATGTACGAAGATTTATGAATGAATACTCTTAACTTTCCGTATGTAGTGTGAAGATGCGAACTCAGACTAATACATATAATATAAATTTGAATTCATTCATTATAATGCTATAAATTAAGTCAGTGGTGGCCTAGTGGTTAAAGACCCCCCTCTCATGCACAAGGGCGCGGGTTCGATCCTGGCAAGTAACCATGTGATTTTTCCGAGTCATATGTACTTTCGAAGAGTATTTAGACACCACTGACAGACGGTGAAGGAAAACATCGTGAGGAAACCTGGACTTATAATTTCACAATTATAAGTTTGAAATCATCAACCCGTCTTAAGCAAGCGTGGTGATTAATGCTCAAACCTTCTCCATGAGAGAAAGAGTCTTTTGCACAGCAGTGTCTTCGGATAGGCTAAAAAAATGCTATAAATTGATAAATAATATAATTGTTTGAAATAAATTGAAATAACTTCTTTAAAGCTATGAAAAATCAAGACTTAGTTCATAAAAGCAAGTCACCAACCAGTATGCTTATAATTTTTCCATATAATAAAAATCTTTCATTAACTCATAAAATTTTAATTATATACCATACAAAATACTTCGATATTAAAATTCGTTTATTAAAAAACGTTTAACTCAAGCTTTCGTTTCAATTAATTGAAAACTCACATGGGATTTTATAATTTTGTTACTTTCATATATTTCACGTTTTTAAAATTTTATAAATTATACTATCTTTATTGTTTAAAAATCTTTTTATTATATTTTATTTATCTCTTTTAATACTTTTTACCTCCTTATTTTGGTAACTAATTATAATAATGATAGAACAAATATCATTATATACGTAAACGTTCTAGCTATGTATTACTTACCTATTATGGAATTACTGTTACCGCGACTGGTAAATTTCAACCGGATGATAAAATGAGTCCCAATTTTTTACATCTTATTCTGATTTTGTATATATAACGACCACACGTATTAAGAAAGTATGGAAGACGTTTTTTAATTAAAGACATTATGTGTATATTTTCTTTGATGATTAATTTTATTTATATTATAAAGTTATGTACCGATAAATGTAAAAATCTTTATATCTGTATAAAATATAATATTTGATTGGAGACGTCTCTTTCGTTTTCGAAATTAATTTTATATATTTTATTTTGTTTTGTTGATCGAAAACCTTAGTATTAG